CGCCATCCTCATGCGCCTCGACTCCAACAGCAGGGTCCACACCCTGTTTGTCCACGCCTGCCGGTTGTAGTGTAGAGAATATACCTTTGATGAGGTGGTGTAGCATTTGCTTCAGTTCACGTAAATTGGTTTGTTCAGTGAACGGTTCGTTGCAGCCCAAACTGAAACGTTGAAGCAGTTGCTTCAGCATTTCCTTCAGTTGAGCAACATTGGAGGAGAGGTTAATGATACACACATCATTGCCTTCCACCTAATTATACATACACATTCGTGAACTTAGTCTTACAAACCATCTTCAAATGATGTGGCTCAACTGTGTGAAAATTGCGTAATGCTTGGATGGATTACCTTGTCATTGCCAACAACTTGCTTGCCTTTGAAATGTCGCAACATCTCCATTAAATCTGTTTGGTTGTGGAGAACTTGCTTCATCATTTCCTTCAGTTCACGAATGTCGGACTCCAAATTGCTCATACGGACTTCATTGTACTGTCCTGTTTGTTGGTTCTCGACATGGCATGCATCCATGTCAGCATCATCGGCGTTACTGTAATCAAACTCCATCTAATCATAGAAACGCAGAGGGTGAAGTCTGACATTGTATGTTGAAGACAAGTGGGTCGATGGTGTGAAATGTGCACAGTGGTAGGAGTGCTTACCGCAATTGTTGGGAAATTTTGCTTCCTTCTGATACATCGCAGTGTCTCCCGTATTTGGATATCACCCCAATCATGAAGCCGAGGCGTGGACCGCGTCGTAGTCGAGCTCAGACAAACACAATCAAGGTACAACAGCTGTGGACATTAAGGGGCACACCATAATTAAGTTGTTCTTCCCACAAAAATGAACTATATTCAGTAACAATGACATTCATTATTCTCAATTTTGCAGTGGAACGTACATAGCATACCGATTTTGTTGAGGATGCTGTCAACTATATAGGCACATATCATGCAATGTTTTTTGGGGAAAAAATTGTACAGCACACCAAGGACTTTATTGATGAAACCAAGAAAAAAAATTTATATACATGTTCCCCTCTTCGCAGCGTAGTTTTAATTAGTTCCTCCATTGAGGTTCGGCATACTTTTTGCCCTGTACTCTTTGTTCTTAAATTCATGACGGTAGTCACACAAAATTTATTTCTGCAAGTACCATACTTGGTTAGGAAGAGTGTTGTTTGTCGTACTCACAAAGCAGGTACCATTGTATGTCCCAATCAAGGCCAATTTGTTGAACCATGACAGAACAATGCATGAAACACATGAAGGGGGGAATGGAAAAAAAAATTCAAGGTATTGGCATACCATTAGCAGGAAAACACATCCAGTTGCACCGCGATGACCTTTATACTTCCGAACACCGTTGTGAAGGAATTGCAGTGTCAACTTTGCCCAATTACAAGCTCGCATACGATTCACGTCCTTCACGGCATGAATGAACGATGGCTTCAACCCGGTCATTGTGGTAGGACACAACATGGCCCCCAACACGTACAGCGCAAATTTCCGCCGAAACTCGTCCTCCGCACCAGCAGTCTCGGTCAGATAAAGTCTCAACTTGTTCAAAGGAATGACTCCGTTAACAACTCCAACCTCATCGTAGATATTGGGATATGCTTCCAATGACCCAGCCAACTGCACGTCATCGCCTTCACACCGTATTCCCAATAAAACATTAACTGCCTTACACGTGAGCCTGACTTGACAACCATGAACATTCAATGAACTACTATCAGGATCGAAGTTCTGTACCAACCATGCGCACAAGTCGTGATCTATACGTGTACACTTCATCCCCAGGAGGCCAGCAAACCCAATGTCAATGACTGCCTGCTTTTGTGCTTCGTTGAACCGGTTAACTAGCTCAACAATTGACTTCAATGATATGCGGAGTTGCCTTTTACCCTGCACATTTTTTACCCTTAAATTAATACAAAAATACAACCAACAATGTCAGCAAAGCAGGACCTAGCCAAATGCATTTACGAAAACATGAAGTACGTAATGACCTTTTCAGACTTCGGTGCACATGGTACTACTTTGGCGTGTTCCTCAGCGCTCGCCTTAGCCTTTTCCGCAAACCTCTTTTTCTCATCAGAGGGGAGTGCCTTCCACCTTTCCCCAATCTCCTTTCTAGTCTTTAACCAAGAAAATGACAGACGTACAAGACAAGTAACAACTATGAGTCCAAATTTACTGTAACTATAACTTTATGCCAAACGCACTCCGCGTGCATTGTTGGTAATTAAATAAGATTGCAAATACAAATAACAGTTGCAGCAAAAAGTCAGCGACAAAACGTAGCTGGACTTTTACAACGAATTGACATTTACAAAAATAATAGGAAGGTGACATTATTACATGCTCCAATCCTACAAATGCGAAACAATCACAAGCCCACTACGACCATTCAATACAACGTGTGGATAGCAACCCAGCGATGTGTTTCCATCATAGTGTATTATAGAGAATACAGATTTCAACACTCACCATTTTTCGTCGAGTGTTGTCTGGCCCTTGCATTTCCTTGAATTGTTGCTGGCTGCATGCAAGCATCGTCAAGCTTATCATCACTAAATGTGAAATATGAATACATATATATATATATATATATATATGCAAGTTTTTATGTCAAGCTGGCCCCGAAATCGGCATAAGACAGCTTTCGTACATCCGGGACTGAATCGACACCAACTTAAACATTTTCAGACATGCGGAAAAAAAACCAATTTGAAACATCACAAATTGAACTTCGACGAGGCGCGTAATTTCAGTACGAAAAATGTAATTCCAGATTGTCAAAATAAACAACTAGTACCTGTAACAAATAAATGGTGCAACTGGCCGCTTTCGACAAGAGCCAGTGATAGTGTCAGACATTTGGATATGTTGTTCGGCAATTGTCTTCAATCTTTTCCTTCCCCTTATGAAAGAGCAAATCATACAAATTAGATTGCAGGGAAAATTACAGGGGTGGTGTACACATTTTGTCCGTTGTCTAATTTGGATCGATGCACTTTAAACTACCTAAATTGTGACAGTCCATTTCAGATTTGGTGGACATTTTCGGTCAAATTGCTAATGCCGTTTGTCATTTTTAAAACAAAGATTGTAATGTCAATTGATTGAGATTATGTAAGTTCAGTAAAGTTATAAGTTGACTACAACAAAAAGTATAGTTGCCACGTATATGCATATTTTCTGATACAAAACAGTGAAGAGTTGTAATCAAATGGATGTAATTGAAACAAAAGTTCAAAATTGATGCTGCAAAGCGAGGGCATTCAAAATTTGTGCAAAACAAATAACACAAACACAAAAGTACAAGGGCTGCTGTAAGAATTGATCCGGAAAAAAATCAGCATATTCCTTGGTGATGGATTTCGTTTGTTTACAAACATATGTACGAAACGAACTGGTAGCAAGTCTTTAAGGAGAAAACTAACATTGTTGGTGCGAGGTGACCAATATCCATCAGATGTAATGACGACAACTCCTGCGAAGTATTCCAATCAATATTTACAAGAACACAAACAAACGGCTGCAACATGTGCCTGTTAACCTTAAAATTTTGCGTAAACACAGACAACAACACACAGAATTTCCCAACACATATACAGATTTTGAAACAGACAAAAGAAAGGCACACATCAAGATTTTGCATTTCGTTCACACAGCTTACAATTAAAACAATTATGTGTACAAGCGATAAATGAATAATTTCCCAAATATTGAAGAGGAAGGACTACATTGTGTTTTTCATTTAGGGCTGAAGGACTACACGCACATACTTTTATGAAGGCCTGACTACAAAGGACAACGAAGCAACTGAACTATTTCATGACGGGGTTAAACAATCAGGACACGATTCTTCTGTGAGAGAAATTTGTGCTCATCCCAGGCACAAAAACCAGATGAAACCCCATCCATCAAGTTGAGGGCTTCAATTTCCTACTGAGCAACTTGGTTGCAGAGAATCGAGGTGGCTGCATCGTGGCCCATGCTCCATTACCTTCGGGTGGTCAGACAGTGGGCAGATCAGAGAAGAATACTTTTCCAGGCGTACAAGCAAGTTTCATCAATTGTATGATAGGTGAATTCTTTAGGAGGGATCTGAACTGTGCGTGCACATACAGTGTGCTCCCATCCGAGGTGATGTTCAACTTCTTAACTACGTTGTTCAGTTCTTCAACTTCACGAACTGTCATAAGGGTGAGGTGAAGAAATTCATAAAAGTCAACAAGCCCAGGCAATTCACGAAGAAAATCTCATTCGTAGAAATGGACAACCTTGCCTGCCATTGCACGCAACTTTTGAATGATGGTTACCTTTCTCATGAAGTTATCATCTTGCATATATATACAGCAGTTACATTTGAAGAGGAAGGTAGCTGTCATTCATGAGTTGCGGGCTGTCTGGACTTTATTGAGCGTAGAAATGAAATGCGTACTCTCATTTGTCCTTTTTTATGACCTTCGTGCAGAATGAGAATGGATGGGTACGTTAGTAATATTTGTTGGCAGGCAGTGGCAGTCTTGCTTGTTTCATTGTCACATACAATTGATGAAACTTGCTTGTACGCCCGGAAAAGTATTCTTCTCTGATCTGCCCACTGTCTGAGCACCCGAAGGTAATGGAGCATGGGCCAGGATGCAGCCACCTCGATTCTCTGCAACCAAGTTGCTCAGTAGGAAATTGAAGCCCTCAACTTAATGGCTGGCCTTTCCAACAACTTATGCGGCTGGAGACGATGGCTGAAAACCAATACCTTCTTCCCACCTGAGTCGGACAAGCCTAACAGATTAAGGAAGAAGTTTGCCACTGCCTGCGAACAAATATTACTAACGTACCCATCCATTATCATTTTGCACGAAGGTCATAAAAAAGACAAATGAGAGTATGCATTTCATTTCTACGCTCAATCAAGTCCAGACAGCCTGCAACTCATGAACGACAGCTACCTTCCTCTTGAAATGTAACTGTTGTATATATATGCAAGATGATAACTCCAAGAGAAAGGTAACCGTCATTCAAAAGTTGCGTGCAATGGCAGGCAATGTTGTCCATTTCTATGAATGATATTTTCTTCGTGAATTGCCTGGGCTTGTTGACTTTTCTGAATTTCTTCACCTCACCCTTATGACAGTTCGTGAAGTTGAAGAACTGAACAACGTAGTTAAGAAGTTGAACATCACCTCGGATGGGAGCACACCGTATGTGCACGCACAGTTCAGATCCCTCCTAAAGAGTTCACCTACAGACACGTCAACCACAGAAACAGAGGGCATTGACGATGCCCGGATGGACCACATCTTAGAAAAGTTGGATATTAGACAAGGACTGAAGGCAAACTTCTTCCTTAATATGTTAGGGTTGTCCGACTCAGGTGGGGAGAAGGTATTGGTTTTCAGCCATCGTCTCCGGCCACTTAAGTTGTTGGCAAGGCCAGCCATCAAGTTGAGGGCTTCAATTTCCTACTGAGCAACTTGGTTGCAGAGAATCTAGGTGGGTGAATCCTGGCCCGTGCTCCATTACCTTCGGGTGCTCAGACAGTGGGCAGATCAGAGAAGAATACTTTTCCGGGCGTACAAACAAGTTTCATCAATTGTATGTGACAATGAAACAAGCAAGACTGCCACTGCCTGCCAAAAAATATTACTAACGTACCCATCCATTCTCATTCTGCACGAAGGTCATAAAAAAGACAAATGAGAGTACGCATTTCATTTCTACGCTCAATAAAGTCCAGACAGCCCGCAACTCATGAATGACAGCTACCTTCCTCTTCAAATGTAACTGCTGTATATATATGCAAGATGATAATTTCAAGAGAAAGGTAACCGTCATTCAAAAGTTGTGTGCAATGACAGGCAAGGTTGTCCATTTCTACAAATGAGATTTTCTTCGTGAATTGCCTGGGCTTGTTGACTTCTCTGAATTTCTTCACCTCACACTTACGACAATTCGTGAAGTTGAAGAACTGAACAACTTCGTTAAGCAGTTGAACATCACCTGGGATGGGAGCACACTGTATGTGCAAACACAGTTGAGATCCCTCCTAAAGATTTCACCTACAGACACGTCAACCACAGAAACAGAGGGCATTGACGATCCCCGAATGGACCACATCTTAGAAAAGTTGGATATTAGACAAGGACTGAAGGCAAACTTCTTCCTTAATCTATTACGGTTGCCCGACTCAGGTGGGGAGAAGGTATTGGTTTTCAGCCATCGTCTCCGGCCGTTTAAGTTGTTGGAAAGGCTAGCCATGAAAGTGAACGCTTCAACTCTTGATTCAGAATTGGGTGTGGGAACGAATAGCTCTCTACAAAATTTGGAAATCGTCATCCTCATTTCAACTCTTTCAATTGGCTTTCCTATGTTTTAAGTTGAATACCGTCAACTATGCATGAACTTCAGCACTGAAAGAAAGAGTTGTTTACTGTGTTACACGGACTCGGGTACGGGTGCCGGGTGCGGTATGTATGTACAGGTCCGACTCATTAAATCTTAACCCTACATTCAATGGTACATGGTGTGGGGAAAAAATATCATATTTTTAATCTAATATGTGACATAAAATGGTACTATATGTAACTCACGGTGTCAAAATCACATTTATAATAATTTAACAATAATTTGCACATATAATAATTGTGTTTTATACAATTATATAAGAAGTGTCCGTTGAAAAGTATCTGACACATATCTCATACCCTTGTCGGACTCTCAGGTGTCCGACAGAGGTATTTGAGCTATTTCGAAGAGTCCGTGTACCACAGACTGTTTCTAAACATAAGTTCCGGCAATATAAAATCACCGAGTACTACAAAATTTAAAGCAGAATTCAACCTAGTGTGCTACCTGTTGCGGAAACAAGATTAGTCATTGTTTGTTTATCAAGTTTCTTATTTTTGCTACTCGAAAAAACAAAATTGTTTTTCCTGTGCCAACATTACACAAATTTTTTTTAAAGTCTTCTTTCGTTATATATAACCCAACCTAACAAGTTCGCCATGTAAATGCAGAACACCTTTTATGCTTGTTGCTAACTACTATGATACCTATGTTCAACTTGCAGCACTGATAGCAGAGGGAAGACTTCCTATTCAAAAGGGAGAAAATACAAAAATTGAGTACAGAACAGTTCCTATTGGGTCCATTTCGGTTAGCAGAGGGAAGAGTTCCTATTCGAATAGCACAAAACACGAAAATGGAGTATAGAACAGTTCCTATTGGGTCGATTTCGGGTTGGGTGTGAAGGTATATGCGAATGATAGAAGACAAACAAGGAGACAGATAATGTACCAGCACGAAATAAAGGAAATACCAACCGGATCAGACGAACCAACGGTGGTGCTCGATTAACCCTTGCGGTTGTGCTCCACCGACAAAAATCAACTCAAAAAAAGTATTTACGCATCCACTTCCATGGCTAGCCTTCCCAAGAACTCAAGCTCAGCACTCAAATATTGTTCTCTGTAAAACCCTACAGCTACGGGGAAATGGAACAACGGAGAGACGGGCAGACAGAAAGACAAACAAAGAGAGAGGTCCGAGATGGAAGAGAGACGGACGGGCCAACGGAACTTACACCTCTTCTGAACACTTCGGCAATTTTTTAAGTTTTATACTTGTTCTGACAACCTACACCTTTTAATGAAAACTGACATCATTTATAAATTAATTTTCTTCATAAAAGTTACACCTTGGAACTTTATATCTTTACATTACATTAATTTTCTTAATAAAAGTTACACCTTGGATCTTTTCTAAAAACGAAACATTCAGCTTCGATGATTGGTCTTCTTTGAGAACTTGTACCTTTTGTAAAAAATCACAAAGTTTACAACTATTCCTAAAGTTTACACCTTTCCAAAAAATTTACACCTCCTCTCGGAAATATTTACAACTTCTTAAAAAATTACACATTTTGTGGAAAAACCTTTTTCGTAAAATTTAAACTTATTATTTCAAGTTACACCTTTAGTGAAAAACAAAACTTACATCTTTTCTATGGTCATTTACACCTTCTTCGGACAAACATACACCATATTTGAAAAGGTTATACCTTTTGTCAAATAATTGTTTGGTAACGTTTACGTTTTCAGTTTATATTTACAAAAAATTTATAAACTAGTTGTTGTTTATTTTTTGAAAAACATAAACTACAAACGCATTTGGTAATTGACAAAATGTTTAAAAAAAATTTAAAATATAAAAAAGAGTGAGAAATGGCGAGTGGTGGCAAGTGGCAGCGGAAGACGGTGGTGGAAAGTGGTGACGGTGAGTGGTGGGTGGTGGTGGTGGTGGTGGGTGGGTGATGGTGGCAGGTGCTCGGGTACGGGTCCCAGGTGCGGTATGCATGTACAGGTCCGACTCATTATATCTTAACCCTACATTCAATGGTACACGGTGTGGGGAAAAAATATCATATTTTTAATCTAATATGTGCCATAAAATGGTACTATATGTAACTCACGGTGTCAAAATCACATTTATAGTAATTTCACAATAATTTGCACATATAATAATTGTGTTTTATACAATTATATAAGAAGTGTCCGTTGAAAAGTATCCGACACATATCCCATACCCTTGTCCGACTCTCAGGTGTCCGACACAGGTATTTGATCTATTTTGAAGAGTCCGTGTACCACAGATTGTTTCTAAACATAAGTTCCGGCAATATAAAATCACCGAGTACAGCAAAATTTAAAGCACAATTCAACAGAGTGTGCTACCTGTTGCGGAAACAAGATTAGTCATTGTTTGTTTATCGAGTTTCTTATTTTTGCTTT